AAAAATGGAAGACTCTTTTCTAATTCTACGATAACTTAAGTAAAATTGCAGCAATAGAGAAGAATAAAATCCTCATCCCAATGTTATTGTATAATTCTATTCCAGTAGGATGTTTGGCAAAATAGGCAGAATGAGTATGTATCCATTTTTTTTTAGGACAATATCACTTAAAATGACAGACTACCAAGTACAGCCATATTTGAGGTGCACCAGCCCTCTGACTTTTGCTCTCTGAATTGATTCCCCTGCCCYTTTGAAGTTTTATAAGCCAGATCTTGCTGTTTCTATAATTTTATTTCTTTAATGCACTATTGTAATTGGGATTTTTGTTCTTTATTTTCTTTCTGRACATCTATTTTTAACATTCWYTTTTTTGGGGAAATCAGATCWGGTACTCTTAAATCTGTGTCATATATTATCTGGCTTAACAATCAATAACCAAAGTTACTCCAAGAAATGTATGTTCCCCAAGGATCATACGTATTATGTAGTTAATACCTATTTGATACTTCATTATTTTTGTAATAAACTTTTAAAAATGGTCTTTTATTCCTCCCATGAAGATACATAGGGTGACAACTTGTTCTATTCAAATAAGATTAAAACTGGTTATAAGGCACATTGAGTATTGAACCATGATTTCGATGTATTTATGGTGAATTTTTTATTACTAATCTTCACTGCCCATATTTTTTGGTTGACGAATTGAGAATCTTTTGTAACGAATTGAGAATCTTTTGTAAAATTTTGAGTCATAAAAACTACCACTATCACAAATTAGGTATAATTATAAAAAGAGTTACAGTAAAGAAAAACAGCTGGTGTCATTATTATTAATCCAAAGAGTAAAGATGTCCACTTTAAAATACCACACAAAGTACATTGTGGGAACACAATTTGGATTAGTTCTGAGGTACAGTCCTAGTGCAAGAAAAATGTTTCCTTTTGGTCAGTCTGACTGGCAGACATGTCATTTCAGACTGAACATTTCAGACTGTTTACTGAAGCCCATAGCCAATAATGCCTGTTGGTCAAATTCTGCTGGTATGAAGTCAGTTTCATATAGTATTTGGGCTTCCTATGGACATTCATCTAGAGAGAGAAGGATAGTTACCAAYGGCCAGAATAAACATTTGGTGCATTAATTTACATATTTTGTAGTTTCTCATTCAATAAACATTTYGGTTCAGATACTTTCAACTGGGTTTAGACAAAAAGAATCAGTTCAATCAGGTCTGGACAATAAAAGGCCATTTTGGGGAGCCAGAATGAAAATAAGTGCTTTCCTATAAATCTGAGAACTGTTCCCTAAACTGCAGCAGATGAACCTACACAGTACTCCTTTGGGATTCTTCCCATGAATCATGACATGCTTCCTCATGGATWTTCAAACTCCATTAATAGAAGTTTGGAAGATTTACATATTATTTGCTGGAAAACCTCAAAGTCCAAATTTTATAGACAGCAGGCAGCAATTTTCTGGATTATGACACTGACTATGAGCAAATCGCTTGCCTTGCCAAGGTTTAGTTTTATGATAAAAATAGAAGGGAAGCTTAGGAGTTAAAAACAGGAGAAAGAAGACGTAGTAATTGAAATGACACAACAGAGGAGGTTTCCTGATATTTGGATAAGCTGCTTTTAGCACAAACATTTGTGGGATGATTGGGAAGCTCCTCCTTCCTGGATTAATTAAGATTAGCTGAGATTCTTCTGAACCTGTGTTGAAGGCAACAACACCTCAGAGAAGCATTTTCATCCTGTACATTAAAGTTCCCACATKTAAAATGAGGGTTCTTAAGGCTTCATGCACTAACTCTGTGTTGATGGCTCTCATCTGAATGTCACATTTCTGTGACATCTTCCTCCGTAGAATTATTAGTGCCTTCACAGCTGCTGGCTAWCTTTTCCTGCCTCACTCTTGCTCCATCCGCAGTTTTCCCCAGAAAATCTGTTCTTTCTGTTGCCAAAGCATTGAAGTAAAAAATAAATAGATGAAATGAAGTTCTAACAGTTGACACCAAATGTCTTAGAAAKAAATAGTTGACCTTCAATATATATCCAGGGTGTGGTATATTTTCTTACCAACTCTCCTACACCCTGATAAAAGTAAGCTCCCATCGGCTCTACCTAGATCTCTGCTAATTTCCATAAGGATTTTTAAATTTTGATTTCATGTTTTGAGTTGATTGAGTTGATAATTTCAAAATATATAAAAGCATGCTTTGGGTAATCTGACGAATACCTCATACCCAGGTATAATCACATAATTTGAGTGCCTGACATGACATTGTTACAGGGTATAAAACACTGTTACTTTGTGATTTGAGGGCAAATGATGAGCAGGGTTTACAAAACAAAATTATATTAACTTARCATTACTTAATTTAAATRACATTTGTTTTCTTAATTTTAAACAATTTACTGTTGTAATTATTTTTAATTTTTACATTTTTTAAGAGTTATAAGCATATAGCACTTATAATTATTTTCATGTTTCCACATGTATTATTRCAATCATTTGTGCGAATCATTTAAGTTAGACCTGGGGTTTATAAGAAGTTCTTTTTTTCCCTAGAATTCTACATGYTACTCAAAAGGAAGAAAATATGATCCCTACAAAATAAAAGTATATGCAATAGAAAAAATAATTTGATTAATAAAAATGTGTACGCARACAGAAAAATATAAATGATAGATAAGACTTATGTCTTCATGTGATGACCTGGACAGTAGAAAGCTCTCTGGCCTAGTGTGTAGTAACTATCCATAGCCCCATAATCACTGGGTGGAAACAAGGTCATCCTTATTAATTGTTCTTTTTATTATGTATTGTTATATATTATGTATGTAACAAYACAAATATGTGTACATRTTTATGAGATACAATGTGATAATTTATTTATGTATTATGTATACATTGGGTAGTGATCAAGTTTGTATAATTAGCATATTTATCACTTTTACCATTTCTCTGTGGTGAGCACATTCAAATTAAACTCTTCTAAGTATTTTGAAATACACGATGTTTTATTGTTAATTATGTTCACCTGCTATGCCATAGAACACCAAAACTTATTCTTATCAAAMAATAACATTTCCCAATGATCCACCTCTGCCTGTCTCCATGCACTCCCCATTCTCTGGGAACCCCTATTCTCTCAATTTCTAGGGTTCTCTTTCCACCCATAAATATTTAGATGGTAATTTACTTTTCTGTTATTATTGCAAGAAATTTCCATGATTCTCTACCTTGCTGGCTTCAATAAAGTAAGCTGCCAGGCTGTAAACTATTATTCAGTGTATCACACAGCAGGAAACTAAGACCTGTCTCTGGGTCAATATCCAGTGAGGAAATCCGGCCTTCATGTCAGTCTCCAGAGAGGAACCGAGTTCTGCAAACAGGCACACACAGGCTTTGGAATAGACCTTGTCCAGCTGAATCTTAAGATGAGAGAGACCACAGCACTGTTTGAATCTTGGTTATACTGTCATGAAAGACCCCTGACAGATCCAGGTAAGTCATGCTCAAACTCCTGACCTATAGAAACTGAAAAAATAAGTGTGAGTTATTTTAAGCTACTAAATTTGTGGTCATTTTTTGCACAATATTAAGTAACCAACACTGTGAGCATTTAGTCCTGTTCTCCAATTGAATTTTCCCTGAAAAGTATTAAACACGTGTTCTGTCTTCTAATGTGGGCCCTTTTTATCTGGTTACAGTGAGCAAGAGCATGAGAAATTGTTCACAATTGGGCTATTTATTTATTTATTTTCCCATCCCTCCTTAATCCCCATTAATCCCCTWCCTGTACTCCAATAATACAATGAGGTATTTATTTAAAAGAACTGATTGTTACTGTCCAATTCTGAAGACCAGAGTTATTTTATAGTAGTGCAACAAGAATGAATCTCTGAATTCTGAAGATTAAGCAATGTCTTATATTGCCTTAACTTTTCTTTCCATATATCCTTTTTGAAGAGTTTTAAACTCTAACATTTTGAATTCTCATTGTTAATACAAATCCATGTTCTTAAGGGAAAAGTAATTTAAAATGTCACAGAAAGAATGCCATCTYTGCATGCGAAAGACCATATCAGTAATCCAGGTACCCTCCCAGGAGTAGAGTTATTATATAAAGAAGAAAAAGGCCTCATGTATATTTTTGAGTTCCATAAATACTTAGAGTAAGGATAAACTTCTATTAAAGAGACATACAATGATATMATGCTTTAAAAAATAAGAAGTTGAGCTGGTGTTGTAGCTCAGTGGTAGAGTGCTTGTCTCACATGCATGAGGCCCTGGGTTTAATCCTCAGCACCACATAAAGATAAATAAATAAAAATAAAGATAATGTGTCCATCTATAACTAAAAAWTTTTTTTTAAATAGGAAATTATTCTTTTTATGTAACAATCCCATGTAAATAGTCCAACTTGGCAAAGCATTTCCTCTTCTTAATTTACAGATCCAGATATCTCTCAGTCTGTTGCTTGATCACCTGTGAAGCTGTAACTTCACTTTCAAAATGTGATCATTGCTGGAACCACTAWCATTTCCTGGGAGCTCATTAAAAATGCAGAATCCCAAGCTTCAGCCTTGAACTGATGAAGTATTTGAGTTTAACCTGAAGTGTTTGAGGTATACGTTGCAGATTAAGAAGCACTGCCACAGAGCACTGCATTTGTGACACCATCTGTCCAGAAGGGGAGATAAATCCAAGAACACACATCCAACATTTTAGATTTCAGCCTGGAAGTTACACGTATCTCTTCTGCTTATATCCAATTCACAAAACCTCAGCCACAGAGCTACACCTACGTGTAAAGCAGGGCTGGTGAATGTAGACTCTCCTTTGGTGGCCATGAATGCTGGTACTCTTCTGTTACTGAAAATGAAAAAAAAAATATTTTAGTGGACAGTCATAGGCACCTGGCACCAGGAGCATCCAATAAACATTTSTGTTCAAAAATCAAATTCATTTGGTTGAAACATTATTTTTAAGTGTCATTCTAGGAAGCATTGAAAAAAATCCCATATTCATTGGTTAACATTCTAGTGGATAATGCTTTTTGTAAAAGCCTAATAGCAAGTCCAGAAATTTCTATGAGTTCCCAGGATTTGAAGAAATTACATTAATATTTCTCCAACAAGAGATAAATGTTAATTAAACTATCATTTTAGGAGAATATTTTAAATTCATGTTTTAAGTCTCCTACATAACTACAGATTCCTGCTTTTAAAATAATAGCTCTCATTCCTTAAGAGCCCCTTTCATTACAACTTCTAGATCTCAGGTCAGCAATGGACAGAATCCCCTAACTTTCCAATCTCTTTGTGAACATTTGCTTTCTTGCCTCCCTGTTTCTCCTGGCCACCTGCCTCTCCTTAAGTGAGGGATGTTTTCTCTCCACAGGTCTCATGCCAACATCTTAGAGGTGAGATTTTGTGATTGCTTTTAATCACCACTTCTAGCTCACATCTCTTCTCTAGTTACTTTTTCATCTCACTCTGATTATCCCAAACTCTACTCTCCCTTAGAAAAGTCATCAAGTGCTTCTAGGGCCATCGCACCTTGAAGGTGCTGGTCTCTGCTCACCTTGGCTCAACATGATCCTGCTATGTATCATGGTGATTTTAATATCACAGAGAAGATCCTTCCCATGTATTGGCTCCTAAGTTGACCAACTGATCATGTTCCTTTCAAGAATCTTGTCCTTTGATCTACCTCAGTTTCTTACTTTCAGAGTCATAACCAAGACCATGACATAACCATCAAATTCCATACCCATTAATTTTCAACCACATCTCAGTCATTTTCTGCTCCTTTGCACTAGTGCCTCTATTTGTATTCTTTAAGCTCATCACAACACACAAGTCATTGTTGCTACCACTGCCAACTTTTCATGTTTCTGCCTGAGTGACCTTGAATGGTCATTTTCTGTCCCAGTTATTTCCCTTACAGATGTCTGCATACTTTGCTTCCTTCTTTTGGTTGATCAAACAAATGTGTTTCCCTAATTATGAATATTTTATCTTAAACAAATGCAAATTCTCCAGGTTTGGTGGCACACACCTGAAATTCCAGTGGCTAGGGAGGCTGAAGCAGGAGGATTGCAAGTTTTGAACCAGCCTCAGCAACAATGAGGCAATAAGCAACTCAGTAAGACCCTGTCTCTAAATAAAATACAAAAAAAGTTTGGGAATATGGCTCATGGTTAAGTGCTCCTGAGTTCAATCCCTGGTACCAAAAACAACAACAACAAAAAAATGCAAATTCATTCTGTTTCTCCTATTTTATTATTTATTTCAATTATTTTGTTATGTATTTACATAACACATCACCATAGATCATCATTTACACAATTTATTTTTTGTGTTTATTATGTAGAAAACAGAATATGATTTATAAAAAAATGTAGGGATTTCTTTCTTTCTCTTTCTTTCTTTCTTTCTTTCTTTCTTTCTTTCTTTCTTTCTTTTGTTCTTTCTTTCTTTCTTCCTTGCTTTCTTTTTTTCTTTTTTAATCTTTACTATTAAATTCCCAGTCCCTAAAAGAGTGCCTGGCACACAGTAAATGGTTGACAAGTACTTGTTAAATTGTTAATAATATAATATATGAGTGAGCTTTTGCAATTGGTAGAGAAATAACTTGTGGCTTAGTTTGAACAASTAGAAAATCTACACACAATGGGTAAGATCACCTGTATGGGGTACTGGCAACCTGCTAAGGAAAGCAAAACTGGAGGGAAAGGCTCTAGAGAGACAACATTTTCAATAAAGTGAGTTTAATTCTGCAACAAAAAACAAGTGAGTTCTTTTACTCTTGGGAGCAGTTGCTGATTCTGGGCCTAAACAAAAGGTGAAGAATCTGGGATTTGCACTGRTGCAGGGCTACTTCCAGAGGAAAGGTATGGGACAGGGACTCTAGGAACTTGGGGAGGGAATTTGGAGAGACTGAAATTTTCTTGCCTCCCATTGGGTCCAGGTTTTAGGGCAGTCACTGTTCTCTGGTTCTGTCTCCTGAGAGGAGTAAAGTTCCAGGGACATATTTTCTCCAATGATGAAAAGATCCAATATTTCCAGATAAAACAGTGTCTCAAGCTTAGTTGCAAAACAAGAAGGGGGCACAGTGAAGGGAGCAGTGGTGTATTACCCAATACTTGTGAACTACTTTATTTGCAGAGTCTGACATCAGGATAAGGTAGGTTTGCACACAAATCATATGCAGTCAGTTTGCATTGATGCTAATGACACTAAGTGTCCTGATGGAGAGGATACTAGTGTTGGCTATTTTATCTATCATCTCCCTTTATTAATGCTTTCTTTTAGAGGGAGTGAGGTGCAAAATAGTKTGATGAGAGGAGGAGAGGGAAGCAAGACTCTTCAGTGAAATCCTAGGAGAAAATATTCTTTATCTTTACCATGCTTCTTTGCTTAYCCTTGCATATAGGATTTCCCCTATCACATCCTCTGAAAATTCTTTCTTTAATTATTGTTCACAGTACCTTTTTCCCCCTTTGGATTGACTCCTCATATCCTTTGCTTAACTTTCTATCCCTTCCTCACTATTATTTTTCAAATGCATGTTCAAAATGCTGATTTTTGAAGATTGAGTCCATTGGAAAGGACATATCCAGAGTATATGGGTGGTTTCCTTCATTTCCTGTGTATGGTTTTGGGGGTTTATTTTGGCTCCACCTGGATGGTTGAAGTATGATACTTTGCATGGAAATGGCAATGCAGTATTAAGGACAGATTCCACGGAGCACAAAGTCTTGGATTCTGGACCTGGATTTTCTCTGCCTGAAAATTTTGCTCAATTCTATCTCTAGCATAGACCAAAGTACACTCAGCACAACRAGGCAACTCATCTTACAAAATGAACAAAGGATATTGAGGTTAAAAAATACCAAAGTGTATATTTAGGAAATATACATCTCAATTAACACACACACACACACACACTCACACACACATGGGAATGGAGAATGGAGGTTAGAGCAGAGGAAATGTCATCTGACTGTAAGGTATGGAATATTCAGGGAATGAGGCTATTTAGGTTTATACATGAAGGGCAGAAAGTGTCAGGTGTGCCTGGATCTTGGATGAGCAGAACACTGGGAGGACAAGTGGACAGTAAGATGGGAGCACTGGGAAAGGGTATTGAAAGCCAAGGTGAGTGTATCAACCATTACAGTGGAAACTATAGTAGTGCTTTTATTTGTATTTATCAATCATTGTATTTCTAAAGTGCCCACTCTTTCTTTCCAAGTAATAGAAAGGAAGCTAAAAGAGAAAGAGATGGGTGAAATGAGGAGAGGAAGGAATACCAAATTTGGGTCCTTCTTCCCATTTAGAGACATAGAATAGGATCTCAATGAATTCCTGGAAGATCTACTTAAAGGATTCTAGAATTGGCCATTGATAATATTGACATGCACGTAGTCTAGGACTAAAATTCTAAAATATAATAATTCTTGCAATGGAAACTTATGTTATCCAAAGCTTGATATTATTTTTATTCCACTAAATTATGTGAAACATTTTATTTAGAATTTAATGAGTGCTAAATATTGTACAAAAGGAATGATGTTCTGTTTTGGAAGCATAAAAATTGTTCTGTTAAAGCTGAAGAGGATGTTTAATGTTGTTATTCTTCACAGGCAATGGTTGAAAGTGGGCACCTCTGATCTGCCTCTAGGAAAGCAATCAAAAAATCTTAAGCCTCTGGCAGGTTGTATTTGAAAAGCCCTCGGGCTGTCTTTAAATTATGGGGACCATGGTAAATAAATCTGTGTCTTGCACTGAGTTTCTAAATGCAGGGAATAGAAAACCAGATGTCTTCAGTGGACCTGTAGCATCTTGAAGGAGGTAGAGACTTTAGGACAGATGAGCTCTATGTCACAATTGTACAAACTTTAGCAATAACAACTAATGGTTGAATCCAGGTAAATTACTTGGAGTAATTTTTATTCTTAAGTGATGAATTCATCTTACAAAAATCTGATCTTACATATTTTATGGCTCCAAGTTTTATACTTTGCCAATGAAAAGATGTCCAAACATTACAATCTGGCTTTCAGGGTACTTTGCTGGGGGAAAAKTTACTTTTCCAAACTTTTCTGTGATGTATTTGGAGTCAGACTAACTAGAAATCATACATTGATCTATTTGCTATAGGAAGCATTTTCCTTCTAATTTCCATTAAAATGTGGCTTCATGTCTCTCATCCTAAATGTTCTCTCTCCTCTGATTTTTGTATGTTTGGATCCAAACTCTTTTTACAACTAAAGCCTGATTTTATTTTCTCTCTCTCATCCAAGGCCCGGTACATTAAAAATATGAAGTACTTTTATTCATTTCATTTTTTATATTTATTAAAGATATTTGGAACAGTCATTCCTACCTTCTGACCACAGTGAGAAAACAGATATGATCCCTTATATAGGCATAATTTCAGACACTCAACAAAAGAACTKCATGGTTTTTAAAAATATTTATTTTTTAGTTATAGTTGAACACAATACCTTTATTTCCTTTATTTTTATGTGGTGCTGAGGATAGATCCCAGGGCCTTGCAGGTGCTAGGTGAGTGCTCTACTGCTGAGSCACAACTCCAGCCCCARCAAATTCATGTTTTTAAACTGTTGTACAGCTATATTGTGAATAAATGAACAGTTGGGATTGCTTATGAACATTGGGCAATATATCCTGGAAAACCAGGAGTAATGGTCATAATGAGACTACTCCAATGGAACATAGTCCACAGCACATCTCCTGTATGGTGGCAAAAGCTATCGAAGCAATGCTAAAAGGTGGACTATCTTATTATGTATGTTTTACATGTCTATATCAAGGGATTTTCTGAGGGTGTCACATCACTGTTGGGCAGTGGCTGGGGCTTCAAATTAGGCAGTGTGGATTCAGATCAAGCCAGGCCACCAAACTAAAACACATCTAATTCTGGTTTTCAATGGTTTCATCTCAGAKAATCAGGTTGGGAATTTGATTTTCTTCAATGAAAGTTACAGATAATGTTATTCCATAATTTTAAATTCTATACTAATGAATCCATTCTATAGGTGTTCGTATTCTCTAAAGATGGTTTGTACTGTTTTAAAAATCAATCAAATACAGTCACCCAAAATTAATGATCCTATCCATATTTGTCTTAAAGCTCAGATAAGTTGTTAAAAAAGTGACCATTTTTTTCTGATAATTTCTCAGTATTTGAAGCAAAATAGAATTATGAAATCATAGTAGAAAATAAATATAATTTTTAAAATGTTTTTAAACACTGGAATAATTAAGATTGAAAAAATCGACAGATTGAATAAAAAGGAAGCAAAGTCACAGAAAAAAAAGAAATATACATAGAAGAAAAGCCAAACCTTGCTTTTCATCTAAAAATATAGTGATGATTTGGGGAGATTAATATGCATCCTACTAAAATACCAAGTTTGCTAAAGAGATTTGACTCCCCAAAAATGATATATGATGAGAAGGGCAGTATTTTCAGGAAAAAATCTACWAAAAATGTAACCATGGTTGATAATATGTGAATACGATAAGATTC